GATCTCCGACTGTAAAAGTTGGTGGAAATCTTCTATTTCCTCTTCTTTGCCTCTGGTTGTTGGTGCATATATCTGAATGATAGTGGTATTCACTGGCCTTCCTTGTATGCATATGGATATTATCCTGTCACTCACAATATTGTACTTCAAGATGGATGTAGAAATGGCTTTTCTAACTATGAAAGCAACCCCATTTTTCCTCACCTTTTCATCTCCGGAGTAGTATATCATATGATCATCCAATTCAAAATGCCCCATGCCAATCCATCTCATCTCACCAGTGCCTAGTATGTCAATATTTATGTGTTCCATTTTCTCCTTAATAACATCTAATTTTCCTACATTCATGGTTCTCACATTCCATGTTCCAATCACTAGTGTCTGCTTACAACTGTTCCTCTTCCTTTGTATTTCCATACTCAGTTGCCCTTTCTGTCATTCTATGTGTGTTCTGTTGTACATAGGGTTTTCAGAAGACCAAGAAGCAGTTGTAAGAACAGAGCAAGGAAACACTGCATGGTTCAAAATTGGGAAGGGCGTACGCCAGGGATGTGTCCTGTCTCCATACCTTTTCAACCTGTATGCAGAACAGATCATCCAGGAGGCTGGGCTCTATGAGGAGAAATGCAGCATCAAGATTGGTGGAAGATCTATCAACAATCTGTGTTATGCAGATCACACAACCCTGCTTGCTGAAACTGAGGAGGACCTGAAGCGCTTGCTGCTGAGGGTCAGGGACTGCAGCCTTCAATATGGATTGAAGCTCAATGTCAAGAAGACAAAGATTCTCACCACTGGACCAATTGGCAGCATCAGGATGGATGGTGAAGAGATTGAGATTGTTCACAGCTTTAGTCTGCTTGGCTCCACAATCAACACTCTTGGCACCAGCAGTCAGGAAATTAAAAAACGTATTGCGATGGGAAAGTCTGCTGTTAGGGACCTCTCCAAAGTACTGAAGAGCAACGGTATGTCTCTGGAGACTAAGGTGCATCTGGTACAGGCCATGGTCTTTGCAATCACTTGTTATGTGTCAGAGAGCTGGACAATGACCGAGGAGGATAGAAAGAGAATGGATGCTTTTGAGCTTTGGTGCTGGAGAAGAGTGCTGAGGGTACCATGGACTGCTAGGAAAACAAACAGATTCATCCTGGAAAGGGTTAAACCGGGCTGCTCCTTGGAGGCAAGGATTCTGAGGCTTCGTCTGACATACTTTGGTCATGTTGGAAGGAGGGACCGGTCCTTGGAGAAGGACATCATGCTTGGGAGGGTGGAGGGCAGGTGCAGGACGGGAAGGTCCTCTGGGAGGTGGATTGATTCGGTGACTGGGGCAATCGGGATGAGTGTGTCGGAGACAATGAGATTGGCACAGGACAGGGCAGAGTTTAGAGCTGTTGTACATAGGGTTGCTATGAGTCGCAAGTGACTCGGTGGCACATAACAACAACTTTAACCAGGGCAGCATATCAAAGGTATAGGGTAGGAGTCCCCAGCTCTGACCCAATATTGATGCATGTCCACCATATGTGCCAGAAGGGTCAGCCCCTCCCTGGACACACAATTTCCAATGAGGGTCAAGCGTCTAGGCCAGGTCACAGGGGTCACAGTGTGTGGTGACTATAGAAACTCCTGTGGTGGACAGTACTCAAGAACCACATGGTTATGCTTCTAGGGCAATCTCCCTTCTCAACCCAGCCAAGCTTGGTGACGAAGTTATAGGTCATAAAAGCCACAGCCCAAGGTCCATATTTCTCTCTTAGACACCCCAGGATCCAGCACAGCATGGACAGACCTATTCAATAAACCCCCTACCACCACCACAGCTGATAGCCTCCAGAGTGGGCCACAGGCATGAGGCAGGATTGTAGACAACAGTATTGAACCCCACAGGTTCCCAGGCAGTGGCCCGGGATTCAGCTCCCTCAGCCAGGACCCCAGCCCTGAGCTTGGCTCCTGAGGGCTGGCCAGTGCTCCTGGCCATGCACATCCCACATGCCCCAAGCCAGAGAGTCCAGTCTGTACTTAAACCCAGGGCAGCACACTGAGAGCTCAAGGGAGGAATCCCCAGCTCTGAGCCAGTGGTGAGGCCATGCCCTCAGACCTGCAACCAGCCTTACTTGGGGCATTGGTGGGCAGGGCCAGCCCTGGGTGGAAGAGCACCCACAGTAAGGGGTTGGGAGCCCAAGCACCCCCTGACCTGCTGTGGGGAATGAGACAGTGCTTCGAGGTCATGCAGCTAGGTCAGCCTGGACTCCTGCTGCTCCAGGGCGTGGAAGGGTCAGGGCGTCAGTCTGAGGTCGCCCAGCACTACGCTGGCCACTCTGCACTTGATCTTAGCCAAAAGGTCGAGAAGTGATCATGCTGGCCACTCTGGCTCCAAACTCAGCTGGCTGCTGGGAAACAACCAGACACTCCAGTCACCCCTAAGCGAGGCTCTGAATCCTGGATGAAAGGCCCTCACCACTCCCACCACCCTGGGGACTCCCTGAGACCCCGTCCTGTCCCACCTCAAGCTGCTACAGCTCTGGCCTCATCCATAGGTGGTCAGATCCCCCACTCAGTGTGACTGGCGTCCCCCACTGACTTCTAGGGCCCAAGTTTCCTCATGGGGCGCTCCAGACCCCACCCACAGCCCTGGGGAGTTCTTCCAGAATTAACAGACAGAAAATGATCTAGAAGCCGAACTCAGAAGAACTGGAGCCAGATCCTGGGAAGATGGGGGAGGTTGAAGGGCCTCTCCCTCCACTGTCCCCCACCATGCTAGAGGACAGGCCCGTGTCCTCAAGGCTGACCACGTAGTGATGGTCTGGGGCTGTGTCACACTTTCCTGAACCCTCTGCAGCAACTGTCCAGCGAGGGCCCACTGGCTGCTCCCCAGCCCCTCGGGGCTCAGCAGAGACAAGGTATTCCAGGGAGCAGCAGCTAAGTGGCTAGTGATGCTGATTAGGAGGACAGCTCCCAGACAGGGATGACAGATGTGCCATGCTGGCTCTGGCCCCCTGCCCACAAGCTGCCCCTATAGCAGCTCCCCTTGAGGCTCCATCTGTCTCCACTTTGGTCAGAGCTGGCTCTGCATTGTGTTGACTCTGTCAGCCTGACTTCCCCAGGAGAAAAGATCCACACCCTACTTTCCCCAGGCCAGGGCAGCATGGGGATGCCTATGGTGGAGGGACCGCAGGGGATAGTCCTGGAGGGCGAGGCCATCTTCAGGGGAGCAAGGGACCAGTATCAGTGTCCAGTGCTTCAGAATGGGGCAACTGACCCAAGGGTCCATCCCTGTCCCCCATCCATTGCCAAATCAGGAAAGGGTGGCCACTTTATCTCATCATTCTCTTCCTCATCCCTGGTCCCTCCCCACCCCAGCCCTTGGTGCCCTCACCTTCTGCCCAGCCCCAGGTCCTGACGCAGCCTGTCCCCCCAGTCCCTGCAGCATGCCCAACACAGGACTTCCTGGGCTCAGCCCCAGGGACCCTCCCTTGCCGACAATCTGCAGACGGGGTTCTCAGTCAAGGACTTCACCCCCAACGTAGGCACCTCTAGACGAGGCCCATCAAGATCCTGAGGCTATACTTCACCCTTCTGTCAGGCCTAAGGTAATTGTGGTCACACATGGAACCCCAAAATTGGAAGTGGCTTCTTCCCAAGCCTCTTCCTCCCCCGTGTGCTCCTCCTTCCACTTCCTCTATGGGGACCTGACCCCTGGAAACTTCTAAGATACCTCCTTTTGGACCTGGGGGTCCACAGCTGTGAAGTAGGCCTCCACTGCAGGCACCCCACTCCCAACAGGGCAGCAGGGAGGGCAGGAGGGGTCAGTGAGGAAGCCTGTCAGCTGTATAGACCAGTGTGTGTCCCCAGCACAGCCTGAGCCTCAGCTCTGTCAGCAGCCTCAGTATGCTCCCCCATCCTGCTGCTTTGGGGAGGCCCTCCCAGGTCCCCAGCTGGTGATCAGAGATAACAGCTCCAGACTCTTCCAGCCCCCTCTGCATTCTGCATCCCCAGGACTAAGGGAGCTCCCATCAGTCTTGGAAATGGGGTCTCCGGATCCTCCTATGACCAAACCCAGCTCTGCCCCCCCCCCCCCCCCCGGGTCCCTCAGCCCAAGGCTGCCTAACCAGGAGCTCAGGTGCCAAGTGGAGATATTATCTCCACGGCTGGAGACCTCGGGCCAATTTACATTCTTGTCTGGGTTTGCTGGAGCCAGGAAGTGGAGGAGGAGGGTGGGGGTACCCACAGGACTGGGGTATTGGGTTTGCACACGCCTGCTGCGGTGGCCCACACCCATCACCGCCCACCCAGACCCCGCATACGTGGCCAGCCACGTGTGAGGGGTCAGGCAGAAGGGCAGAGAGGTAGCCTGCACCTGCCTGTACCAGTATGAGTGATTCTCCAGGCCCTGACCCTCTGAAGCCACCCCCATTGCTCTCTGTGACCCACATGCTGGTATACCCCTAAATCTGAGCACCAAATATGAGCACCCCACCACCCCTTGCAACTCAAGTACAAGCACATTTCCCATCCTCTGCACCCCAGGAACAGGAGGTCTCATTGCCCACCCTTCTGCTAGCCAACGCAGTGCTGGCCCTGGCAGGGCAAAAAGGCAACATTTCTCGGCCTCAGGAGACCATGGGAGACACATGTCCTCGAACTGAGTCCAGTAGCAAACTGGCTCCAGCAGATGGTATGGGTGCTAGACAAGCACAGTCCCAGAGGGGGAATACATCCTCTGTGTGTACCCAGAGGATGGGGTGCAAGTGAGCACAGTGTAGTGTTCCACGGAGCCCTTTGCAGGCCCGAGACCGAGGCTGGGGCAAGCATGGATAACCTCACCCCCGTTCCGACATCAGTTCAACTCCAGCCACCTAACTGTATCTCCATCACGCAATAACCAGGCAGCACAGAGCGGATGGGGTTCTAGTCCCCCACTTTTTATTATTAGACCACAGGTTGGGACACAGCACAGCAGGATGACAGTGGCTCCTCTTCTGGCCACTCCTCCGGCCTCACATGCCCAGGAGTAAGCCCGAGAAGCTGGAGCTGCTCTGGATGGTGAGGGTGGCCCCGGAGCCATTGTCCACGAAGACGGAGGCCGACTGTCCAGCCTGGGGGACATCCCCACAGAGTGTCGTGGGCACCAGGAAGTCATCCCCACACTCACACCATGGAGCACATCCACCAGAACACTCCATGCAGGACTCCTACAGCACGGCAGCCCCGAAGCCAACCCACTTGGGTCAGGGCCCCAGTACAGAGGTTTAGAAAACATGATCTCTACTCCAGGCCTCGGACCCTGAGCGCCTCACCTGCAGCTGTAGCAGCCCCTGCACGTGTACGGTGAGGATCCTGCTGTTGCCCTCTAGGCCCGAGATCGCCTCCAGGGACCTGGACAGGACCCCAGATTAATGAAAGTGAGGACACATCAGCCACTCCCAGGAGGCTGAACCCACCCTGGCCCTCAACTCCTTCCCCACGGATCTCATCCCGCTCTCAGTCAGGATTCTCCACCCCAAAGGATTAAGGCACCACGCTAGGGTGGTGTCACTCACGTGTGACGGTGACAGAGGGACTCAATGCAGATGAGCACACGGACCATGTCCCGGGCACGCAGCCGGGGTCTGCCCCTCAATTCACTGAGGTCTGTGGAGATGGCTCAGTCTGTAGCTGCCCCCAGAAGGGGTGCAGAAAGAGGAGGGAGTGGGAGTTTGGGGACACATGGCTTGGGACCCAACCCAGGAGTGACTTCCAGGGTCAGGGAGGATGGGCCTGAGGCCAGGAGCAGAGCAGAATAAGGAAGACCTCTGAATCCTACCCCTTAATTTCCCAAGGAGGATACTCTTAGAGAGGTTACCCATATCCTATCCACACCCCTGAGCAGAGTACCCTATACCTCCTCTCACCTCCCCAAGTTAGACTCTGATATAAACCGCACCCCCATCCCCTACCCACTGCCCTTCCCGCTCACCCACGTGCAGGCTGGCAGAGAACTGAAAGATGGCAGACAGGGGGGCTGTGAAGCGCCCTGAGGCCAGGCTCAGGCCTGAGCCTCGCAGAAAGGCACCCTGGGCTGCAGGCTGCAAAGGAAGGGTGCTAGCTTAGCTCCAGGCCTGCCTCTGACCCCTTAACCTGGTCCCACAGCCTGGCCCTCACCCTCTGTGCCTGGCCCTCACTCCTGTGGGGATGCTGGAGGAGCCTGAGGGGTTATCCATGCCCACTGGGCCTCATGGTACAGATCTGAGGGCCTGACCCCTGCAGGGCTCTTGATAAGCAGAGCCCCTAACCCTGACTTGGGCCACCTTCACCTTCTGTGCCTGAATCCCCCCTTATTATCTACCACCTCAAATTCCACCCAGGTCCCCCACAGCCCCCCAACTTACAGCCTGAAAACCCTGCAGCTCCACTAACGTCTTCTTGTCTACTAGCACAGGGCCCTTCAGGCGGCAGTGGAAGGCCTCAGTGACTAGCCGTCCACTGGCTCCGTCAGAAGGTAGGGGGCCCAGCATCCCCAAGAAGCGACGCTCAGTGGCTTCTGTGGAGGACAATGTACAAAGGGTCAGTGTGAGTCAGCATGCAGTCAGTGCAAGCCAATTCAGGGGTCTAGCCCCTTGGGCTCCAGGTGAGGGTTGGGGGGTGGGGCAGGCAACAATGGCCTCACCTCGCATCATCTCCTGAAACTCCAGAAGAAGGGCCTCCTGTGTGATTTCAGCCCCAGGAGGTCCTGGAGGACCAGGGGGCCCTGGAGGCCCCGGAGGGCCCAAGAGACCTCGCTAGGAGCAAGCAGAGGAGAAAGTAAGGGTCTGTGATGGGGCAGCAATCAACAGACCACCCAGGGAAGAGAGGGCAGGGTGGGCAGAGACTCACCGACTTCTTGTCCCTGGCACGGCACCGTTTCTTTCCAGCCCCGTCATCTGGACGACGCACGAAGTTCAGCCATGTCATGTGTGCATCTGAGAACTCAGGACCTGAAGCCTCGGGGGGCTATGGAGTGGGAGGAAGGGCTAGTAGGCTGCATCAGCTGAAAGAAGTTCCTGGCTGTCCCAGAACAGAATAGCTTCCTTGGATACTCTACAGGCAGGGAGGACAAGCCTGCAGCTCTAACTCTGTCCATGCAGCCCCTGCCACCGTCCACAGGTCCCCTTATAAGCTGATTGAGGGGTGAGGGACCCGTGAGAGATCAGGGGCCTAGAGGACCAAGAACACCGGGGTAGGCAGAGAATAGTCGACCCCATAATGAGAACAGCCAGTCTCCATGCCTGGAAGGGTCAGTCTGAGTATCACCCTCCATGGGCTGATGCACTTTTCTCAGTGGGCAGCCCTGGTTAGGGAGGGACAGGAGGGGACCTGCTGCCCCTGGCCCTCCCCAGGGGTGACTGCCCAAAGACCTGGCTCAAGTGCTGCCTGCCGTCCGGACCCTCTTCAATCCGACCCTCTTCGGCTCGCCTGTCTGGAAAATGTGGCCTCGGGCCCCGATGGGCGATGGGCCGCGTGGGCCGAAAGGCAGGGCAGGCCGCCACGGAGACGCCCTGGGAGGCGCGCGGGCGGGATCAAAGGCCGCCAAGACTGGCCAGGGCCTGCCAGGCGCCCCAGGCCTCCAGGGCTGGGGTCAGCGCCAATACCCCTTCAGAAGACCCCAACTCAAAAGCCAGAGAAGCCCAACTTTGGGACAGACTTGGTCTCCTGTCTAAGAGAGACCCCAAGTGGCAGGGGCTGGGTCATCACCAGGTGCCTCCCTCATGAGAAAGCTGGGCGGGGTCAGCTGGAGGACCCCAGGAAGCAAGGGGCCAAGCTGGCCACAGCTTCTACTATCTCAGATTCCCCATAGCATGTCTGAGGACCCACTTTGAAAGTTGCCAGGGTCCTCTCCACCTCCACTGACATTCACAATTTTACTTAAAGCACAATCTTACCTTACCATCCCCCACAGCAGGTTGATCCAGCCTTACTAGGTTTCAAAGAGTTAATAGAGCTCTGCTGGGAACCCCCCTTCCCCAGGCTGCAAGGGGGTGGGGGTTCCCTGCCTGACATCCCTCCCCAGTCTGACAGGGCTGCTGCAGCAGGCGACCCTCAGAGGCCACATGCACCCAGCCTGTGCTTACCTTGGGTGAGCTGAGTGGTTCCTGACCGTTGGGGATGGTGGTGTTGAGGGGCGTGGTGCGGTGGCCTGGCTGCCGTGGCCGCTTGGGCTCCCTCCGGGCCCCAACACCCCCGAGGAGTAAGAGCTGTGGCCAGAGGAGGGCCATGGCCGTGGCCCACACCCAGCCCTGCATGGCTGGTGACTCTGACACCCAAAGTGGCCAGTGCTCAATGCAGGGCTGTTACCTGGAGCCTAGCTGGCTCAGGGGTGCGGCAGCCGCTGCACTGGGTGTCCAGAGCCCCTAAGTTCAAGTGAAGCCCTAGGGCGCCCTTGCATGTCTGTGCAGAGACGCAGCAGAGACGGCGCGGCTCAGAAGGCTCCTGTCCCACTGTCCCCACGACCCCTGCAGCCCAGTAGGGCTGTCCTGGCCACACCGCACTGGCCTCCTCTCCACACACTGCCCTCCCCGCTCCACCCGCCAAATAAATCCTCTGCTCCCTCCCAAACCTCGCTGGCTCCAAGGGGGAGGGCTCACGCGCCGATGATCCTGACTACCGCCACCGCCCCCAGGCCGACCCAGAGGCGCCCGGGAGGGGGCGGGGACCAGGGACCCTCTCCGCTGACCCGCAGTTGGGTGGGGGGCTGGGCAGAAGGGGCTGCATCTCAGTTCCCCCTGGGCCCTGACTTCTCTCACAAGAGCCCTGCCCCCTACCCCTGCCCAGAGGGCCCTACTGAGCCTGGGACAGAGAAGGGTCACTGACAGTTAACTACCCTGCCCCCACCCAATTTGCTAAAAAGCCTAAGCTTCCCTGCCGCCCAGGGTTGGGTGCCCCTGATGACATGCTGACAGCACCCCCCAGGCCCTGGCAGCCACGAGGCGCCACAGAGCCCACGGTCTCACAAGCCCCGCCTCTCCTGCACCTCACAGCGGGCTTTCCAAAGACTTCCCAGCAACTGGCACAGACCACAAGGATCCAGGCTGGGGCTTCTTGGGAAGGGCCTGACCAGAGTGACCCTGGGTGCCACATTTCCACTGGGAAATACAAGATTGGGTTGCTGGGCTGGTCCCAGATCTCCCTACCCTAGCCCCAGCCTGTCCTCTCAGCCCTCTGGCACCCTGAGCTGGACAGGACAGGGAGGAGCCCCTAGGCACCTCCTCCCTGAGACTGGCTGCATTGGGGGTAAGGGGTGGAGACTTCTCAGGCCAGCGTGGCCCCTGTCTAGGATGGTGGGGGTTTCCAAAGACACAGCAGGAGCCATGGAGGAGCCACAGGGCAAACCCAGGTTCCTCTGTACAAGCTCTAGCCTCCAAGAGCAGAACTGGAGGACCTCGGGCCAGCTGTCAAGCACTCCTGTGGCCAGTCACCATGCCATGGAAGATGCTGTGTCAGCCTCAGTCCCTGCTCTGGGAACCATGGCTGAAATGAGGTGTGCACACCTGCCCACTGGTAGAGACCCCCTGTCCTCCATTTCCAGTTATCTGCAAAAACACTGAAGGCATCAAGCAGGCTGTGCTCACTAGCCAGCCTGTCCCTCCACCCTCCCAGCTCCCGGAGCTGTCACGGGCCGGCCATTCTTAGTGTTTCTTCTGCATGAGTTCATTTGGAGTTGAAACTTCAGTGATCACCTGAGCCAGCCTGGAAGTTGAGGGTCAAATGCTGGCTCCCAACAGAGACCAAGACTCACATTGTGCCCACCCATGGGAACCCGGGGCTGGAGCCAACAGACACTCCCAGACTGGACACTAGCACGCCTCTCTCTGGTCTGGAGCTGTGTTGGCAAAAATGTCCCACTGCTCAACCTCCTCGGTCAACACTGTGTTCATCCCCTCACAGCCACAAGTGGATGCAAGGGGGGGGGGGTCAAAGCTGACTGGCAGGCAGGATTCCAACGAAGGCCCTCAAAGCCTCACACAGTGACCAGCAAAGATGCTGAGCCCCTGTTAATCTATCCAGGGTTTGAGGGCAGCTAAGGGCCTTGACAGACAGCTCTACTGTGGGGGGAGAGGGCAGCACTTTTGGCCCCAGGCCTGTCCAAACCCAGAGAGGCTCCCTCACTTCGAGCAGACCCCTGCCCAGACAGCACTTCTTCAATCTCCAAGTAGGGGCACAGCCAGCATGGAGTAAACCTGATTTGTCCAGAGGAGCACCCTTACCCAGGCCAGACTCACAGGGCATCTCCAAAGCAGAGACCTGAATTCTGGTCTCTGTCTCCTTAAGTCTTCTGGGTGCCCTGTCCCTGTGGGTGGGGTCCCCGAGGAATCCACACGAGGCTGGTGTGGAGAGTTCCCTCCTGCCTCAGGTCAGCCCCTCAGAGTCCATCTGCTTTTTCTCTTTGCCTAATATCCTCACTCTACCTGAATCCCTGCACCAGAAACCCCCACCCAGGCTCAGAGCTCCCTCACCCTGCCCCAATCCTCTACCTCTGCCAGCTACCTCCACACAACAGTCTTCAACTCAGGCCCAGTCTGATCATACATGTCATGGCACCCCAGAGCACCCACTGCCCCAGCCCTGGAGAAGATCAAGCCCTCCTCCCTGACCATCTGGCTGGAGTCCTTGTGGGCTGCCATGAGGAAACTCATTCCAACCAACACGTGCACCCACAGCCACAGTATGGCAGGATCTTGGCAGGTCTGCCTGTAAGAAGCCATAGCTATGCCCTCCCCACCAAGCCAATAACTACCCACCAGAGGGTGGCTGAAACAGAAGGGTTCCTGTGAGCATTTGTTCTGATAAGGACAAGGTCCTGTCAAGTTACTGAAGACAGCATGTGGCCCCAATGTGATGTGAGGGTCCACTCGCCCAGGATACCACAATCCACACCGACTCAAGGCTTGACCCTTAGAGCCAAGAAAAGAACACCTTGAGGTATCTGAACCCCCACACACTTGACATTCTGCCTTGTGTCTTGGATAGACTTTCTCTCAGCCACCTTCAGAAGTCCTGGTGACACAATGGTTAAAGGACTTAGCTGCCACTCAAAAGGGTGACAGTTTGAACCTAACAGCTACTCTGACGGAGTTAAGATGAGGCATTTACTCTGGGTGTTCTCTGTCCTACAGGGCTGCTAGGACACCACTGTTTTGACACCACAGAGCTTCAAGCAAGGCTGGTAAGAAAAGGACAGACAGCAGCAGGGAAGAGGGAAATCACACCAGAGTGCCACCCAACACTGCACACAAGCAGTAGTATGCAGCCCCGAAGCACAGAATCCACTTATTCCTAAATCTCACTGGTTATCTCAGAAGCTCAAGAGGGCTCCAGAAGGCTGCCCCAAGCTTCAGGAGGGTGGGTGCCTCACAGCACCCTGAACAGAGCAGTCGGAAAGGTACCATCCTGACTGCCCCTCCTAGTGGATACTGCTCATCCCAACCTCCCCATCCATCTGTGCCCACAGCCTGTCCTGACCTCCCCATGCAGTGGACACAGCCCACCACAAGCTCCTCACTCAGTGAACCCAGCTCACCACAAGGTCCTCCAACCTGTTAATTCAGACACCATGACCTCCCCTCCTCATGGTCTTCCTGGGTCTTACTAAACAGATTTAGAAAAAAAGAGGCTCAGGACCCCCAGGAGAAGGCTACAGGGATGGACACAGAGGCAGGGCTGCAACCAAGACAAAGGGTGTTGCTCAGGCGGGGAACCTTCCAAGACCGTGCAGTGTGTGCAACTTTTCTCTCTGGCTCAAGGAATGGCTGAAGGAAACATGCTCCTTGGGGAAGGGTGACCCCTGGCTGCCAGAGAGGGAACTGTTTCACTCCCTTGAAAACAGCAAAGCCACCTCTGGTCCTAGTCACTATCAGGGGCATTTCCATGACTGAATGGATCCTCAACCTCCTAATGAAATCTAGACACCATTGAGCAAATGGTTCCCAACACTGAGCCCACCACCCACTGTAACACAGGGGCAGTCCCCTCCATGGCCCCACCCGCTGGAAGCCAGGCCAATACTACGCAAATGGCACCAAGGCTGAGGGGACATGCAAGCATCAGGGAGAGAGGACATAGAAGGTAGAGGATGTGGAGGGACAGAGGCGATATGGGGGGACAACTGGGTGACAAAGAACACACAGGACAAGGGAACATAGGTCACGTGTCTGCCCATTGATGAGAACACACCACTGGACTAAGATACACACGGTATTTGATAGGCTTTGAGATTTATATTTTTAAGTGACCAAATCTAGTAAAATGAAAAACATGTTTACTAAAACAAGTCCAAAGACAAAACAGGAAATGTGCTATAAAAATCAAAGCGTGCCGGCCCGCGTGATGAAGTGCCGCGAGCCGGACGCACTCCGAGCAGCTCCGAGCAGCTCCACGCCCGACCCGATGAGATCGCTGGAAGAAGAGGGCACCACAGGCTCACTCCACATCCTCTAATCACCCGTCAGTTTCGTCCTCCTTTTTAAAGAGCTAAACACAGGAGTCAGGCGAGGCACTGTGCCTGGCCGCACATCTGCCTGCCTGCACGGCCCTGCTGCTGTCCATGCTGGCCGCTCGCGGGCACCACTGTGCTGTCACTCTTGGGCTATGCTCCTCAGCACATACTTGACTGTGTAGGCAAAGGCAGCAAAACCCACTATGACAAACAAGTTCGCTAGTGCGCCCCCCAAGAGTCCGTGGTGGCGGTTAGCCTGCTGTAACCCCGGTGGATTTGGCCCAGCTGCTGGTGCATGCCCATTGAGCAGTGGGGCCCCATGCTGGCCAAGGTGGGCCTCACCGTCAGGGACCACGTCTGGCAGGGGCAGGGTTGGGGGCCTGCTGTTGAGTTCTTCCTGGGCTTTCTGCTTCTGCTTAATTTCCTAAGAGAAAAGAGAAAAGCATGAGTTTACAGATCAAGCAGCTGTGCATCTGGAGGCTGAAGAGCAGACGTGCTTCAGCCTGTGCTGAGACAGCTATGTTAACAGTGGAGTCCACGGGGCACTCTGCCCTGAATGTCACATTTACTCCAACTGAGTCCTGTGAGGCAGCCAGTGCTCCTAACTCTGTCCTGCAGGTGAGGGAACCAAACAGTCCCCATAGTCTCATGGCCCAAGTGAGGCCAAATTACCAAGGCCGCAAGCCCTGTGAAAATGAAAGCCCTTCCCCTACTATCTGCTACTTCCTTCTTGCTTCCAGGAGGGTTCATCACAGGCTCAGTCCCCCAACTGCACCTTCACCCTACCTGCCTCTTCTACCCTGTGGACCA